TAATTCGTATCAAAATGCGTAATGTCTTTATAAAATTCAAATATAAAGTATATTCAGTTACAAAAATTTTTAAATGGTGCAACTAAAAAAAATACATTCGAATCTCTCTATCTTGGATCCCGTAACATGCTGGAAAAATGTTTTCAGCGTTTTCAATTCCGTATTTCTGTGTCACAGCAATAAATAAGTAATTGGAGCTGTGTTGCCGCTTATCCCAGAAACACCGAGTATTCACCAATGCCCCGAGGTTCAGCTCAAGCAATAGTCAGCAGCAGTCTGCAGGTTTTACACCAGTGAAGCTGATTCTTTTATAGTTAGTTTCTGTGTGTTGTAAAAGGTAAGACATCCAAAGCCTTCTAATAGTGATCCGGATGGAGAGCTTTTATGTATTTCAGGTTTCATTACATGGATGACAAGTCAGGGAAAAGTTATAATTTATTTTTTTATGAAAATAACGTCTGTTATTTCCATAAACATTCCTGAGTTCCAAAATCCAGGCATTTATAAATGAAATAAATAATGGAATTGCGTAAGGATTTTTTTAAAACTCTGATAAAGGTTGTATTTAAACGTTAAAAAAATTATGAGAAATTAAAATCATGTTATCTCGATTTTCCCCCCTCTTCCCGGGAGATTGCAGATATTCTGGAAGTTCGGCTGTACTTCCAAATGGGAAAATATTTATAATAGGGTGTATTATCTCAATAATTGCCACCTCAGAACTTCGAAAATCAAAATACGGGTTTGGCAATATCTTTGTAGGAAAAAAGCCTTTAAAAATCGAAGGGCATAATGGTAGCAGCGCTGTCGCTGTTGGGTAGAAAACGTGGATAACGAAGTGAAAAGAGTCTGAACGATTCAGTTGTGGAGGGAGAAATCGGCTTTTGCTGTTTGTTCATTGGACTCCTGCCGTCTTTATATGGAAGGTTATCTTGACCTTCCTTAGGTTTCTCATCCCCGCCGAAATACGTTCCCCCTTCTCCTTATTCTTCCCGTCTGGGTTTCAGTGAAGACCCTCCCCCCCTCCTTTCTTCCATGGAGGTAGGAATCTCCATGGCCTCTCCTGAAAATTTGTGGCGGTATAGAGTTTCCCAAAGCAACAAAGCCTGGGGACTTCTTCCTTCGATTTTTGCTTGTACAGAGCTGTTGCTTAGATCGTTTCCAAATGGTGGAGGAATTATTATTTGGGGGGAGTGTAATTTAAATAAGTGTCATCCATGTGAAATTATTCTGTAAAAATTTTGCAATAAAGCATTTAAATCGCCTTTGGCTGTCGGAAGAAGTTTCAAGTTCAGTCAGTATGCTTGCATGTTATTTACTAGAAATTCAGCGCATATTTTATCATGATTCTAACATAACTCAACTGTCTTCATTTCTAATTTCATATTACTAAATTTAGCTCGAATTTTAAATTTATTCCTTGTGACCTCATTTTATATTAACTGGAAAATGCACCATATACAAAAAGTGGTCTTAGCATAAATAATTTACGTAGGTATCAAAAGCTTGTTCTCAGGCGACTTGCAAACGATTTATGTGTTTTGAGATATGTAATTCGTGACTTCAGAAGCGTCTACTGCAGTTTCGCAAATGTTTCTAAAATTTTTTTAGGTATTTTATAATTATGACGTATTGACATTATGACATGAATTATACGTATTATAAGTTGTTTAAGCAGAGATGCTAGTAAGAAGTAAAATAAACAAATAATAAAAAATAAGTATGTATATTGCTTTTAAATCACTTAGTTAAATAATAGGCAATTCCAATTTGAGAAGTTTATTAAAGATACTTTGCCATTTCGAATGGCAGTTTACCAAATTGCTTAAATGATAAATGCCCTGATGAATAACGTAACGTGACAGGATTTACTGTATATAATATATAGCAAACAAGCAGGGGGAAAAAAATCCCAACCTTCAGTTGTTAACTTCTTAACATCAGTATCATGATATTTTTGGTTGCTATTTTCACCTAAATATTTGTAATCCTCCAGGAAAGCAGTCCTTCCCTTAGCTCCTAAACAAATAGGACTTTTTAACGAGGGGTTGTTGACATTAAGTGGGTTTAATATTATTCTTGTCAAATGGAGAATTTTTGCGTGTAATGGAACAATCGCTGTTATGAGCAGTCGTTATAAAAAGCAGTGACTGTGTATTCTGTTTTTCTTAATTAATGATTAAATTTAGTTTTGTACAAAAGGAAATATCTGTAACTGAATACTGAGTTCACCCCCTTCCCCTGTGAAATAAATGGAAAAGTCTCACTGGCCAAATAAAGAATTAAAAGCATCCTGTAGCCACAACTTTCTTTTTCTCCGATATTTTCTTTGTTTTAAGAAAACTGGGATTATAGGATGATTATGGGGTTCTAGATTTGCAGCTTTGTGGGCTTAGGCATTAATTAAGGCTTTAAGCCTAAATTAACTTCAAAGCGAACCGCTGAGGATCGTCAGCCACGACATATACAAGGGCTACGTTTATTGCTTAGGCTCCGACATTACTTTTACCCACCTTTGAAAACCTTGACTCATAGTGCCTTAAATCTGGAAAGAGAATTTTATACCTACATTATTCCAGAGGGTTTTTGATTAAAGTTTTCTGATGCTGCATTTGTGTCGCATGACATTCAATGTGTTAAAATGATAATGCAGTGAGACTTTGATAGTGTGTCTTGTACGGAATGGATTACAAAGGAACATGCTAAGGTATGTGAACTTTGATCTTGGGTTTGTTTTAAAACAGGCATCGATGTAACTTTTGTTATTCACAGAATTTGAAATCAGTCAACTTCTTTGAATTGTGCAAAACTGCGCGTAGATCTGCGCAAACTTATCGATGGTTTCGACACAAATGGTACTGTAAGTTTTTACGTCATTTAACATTCTTCTTAGTTGTTAGTTTCAGTGGATATATTTTTTTTAATGTCTCTATCCGACTGGAAAATGAAACAGTTCTTTTCTTTTGAAACTTAGCTGGTATCTTCGAATGTATATCCCTTAGAAACAAAATTTTTTTCTTTTTAAATCTTTGTTTTATATTAGTAAGCAAGTTTTCCTTTTGAGCAAGGATTAGATAAACGGATTAAGTTATGCAAATGGTTAGTTAAGTTAAATTGGGATTTTAAAAAAAAGGGGGGGAACGTGATAAATGGCAGTGACATGTCGCTTAGATGGCGGATTAAGAAGGTTCAGATTGTGTTCAGATTGCATCACGTGAGTAGTGTCAAAATCATTAGAAATGGGTGACGTTTCTGGTTGCATCTGGCAAAATTGCAAAACCCAAACATATGGCCTTGTACTTTTATTGATAATGGCGGCGCCAAGCAGTGTTCATCTGCCATCAACAGGATGAATAAAGACGTAATTGCTATGGAATTCTTTTCTAAACTGTGGTTTGGCGATTGGAACCATTGCATCTGAATTGCTGCTTAGTATATGGAACGTCGGTTGGTAATTTTTGAAATATAACATGTGAACCACGATATTCTATGAGATTAAGTCTTCTGAATTTATCATCGCTATCGCTTTATACATGGTTAATGAGCTCAAATAGATAATAATTAATTCAGAAGTCAAACAACAAATAATAATTGGAGAACTCTTAATTGTAATGTTATAGCTTCCAAACAAGCCCCCCCCCCACTATCAAAACTACTTTTAATGAAGACTCTGGGCATTAACCGAAACTGTTACTGCTTCAAAGCGCATGTTTCTTTATGAACTTTTCCCCATCACGCACATCCTTCTCCTCCTCCCCCCGGGACGTAACATTACTGGTCACTTCCACTTTCATCTTCCGTCTCTGGCTAGCTAATCAGTGTACGTACGTACGTTTGCGTGATCGTTTTCTTTGCTTCACTGTCTACCACTCATTGCTTATGGCTCCCTTAATCGTGTAGGATCAAGATTGGAAGTTTTTCTCCATGCAGCAAACGCCAGCTTTCATTGGGGATGCAGGTGTAATAGATTCTTATTATCGTAAACAAATTATAGCTGCTTTTTTGATCGGAATCGTGCAATGCATGGCTATTTGAATCCTAATCTAGCTATTCGAATCTTTAAATATCCGTTGCTTGTTTTAAAGTCAAATAAAATTAAGCATGGCTCAAAAATTTTTTTTAAAAATTTTTTACGCTTTCGCTGAGCTTGCTGTCTGCTGTTGCATTCACTCGTATTAACCCATTTCTTTTCTTTTTAGCTTTATTATTAAGCGTCAATTTCTTTGCACATACCCCATATATAATTCAACAGTAAAATTACAAAAATTTTAATAGTAGTATAGGAGCGTATGTGTAGAATTTTCCGCTGCAGTGTAAGTGTTGGCATACCCTCCCCCCTTTTTTTGTTGTTGTTGTCTTTTCTCACTTCATTATATCAATTTTTTTTTTTTTTTTTTTTTTTTTAAATTTTTTATTACTAACATTTTGCCTGTTAACTTTATTTATTAAATATCATGTTCTTCGCACTTAACGCCACATGGAATTCAGTTCAGCAGCAGAATCGCACTACATTAAAAAACAGCATATCTGAAGAATATCCGACAATGTCGCGCGCTGGAGATAAAAATGTTTTATTCCGTACAGTGTTGCCACAGCTCGCTTTCAGATTGTTGAATTCGTTAATAAAAAATTCATTAAAGTTTTGTAAAATATGTAATATCAAATTAAAAATTCGGCCTTCTAGGTGCACATGTTCGAGTTGAGGAGTATTTTATTCAAAATTTGATGGCCGTGGGTACCATGTGTTTTCACATTGAGCAAAACATACATACAGATTCATCATTATTTAATGTCTTTAATATGCGGCGATAATATTTGCTGGCAACAGTTTGAAAAGTGATATAGCCGTTTATAGTGGACGACGCAAAATCCCGTTCCGAGGCCCATTAGTAATAATGTAGTGGGCAATTTAAGTATTATGTAACCAAAATTTTAATATTTATTATCTTGACGATACGTTGAAGGCGTTTTTGCATTAAAATCTTAAATTTTTTTTGCAGGTCATCCGATCACCAAGTTGTAATGTCGCCAGTAATTCGACGTGGGTTCAGATCCTAGCAAGCGTGTTGACTGCATGCGCATTTTGGTGGGTTTCCATTAAGTAACGAGAATTCGAGCCGAAATCTCTTAGAAAGGCCTCCACGTATGCATTCCTTTTTTTAGTCGATTGTTTCTTTAGATTATTTGAATGTAGGCAAAACACTCAGATAGCCCTAATGAGTTTTGTTATAATTCAAATGATCCTAATTTATATAATTTATAAATATAATTATAATTTATAAAACTATAATTTATAAATTTGATCTATGAACTGCTAAAAATAGGAATCTATGAGCGGCTGAAAATCATTGAATGCTAGTAGTTCGACCCGAGCTGAAATCACAGTGTACAGGATGATTTTATGGGAGTTTAAATGTTTTCTCCCCGTATTTAATTTGAACGCAAGTCATTTTGCGTCCTCCAGGAAGCCATCCTTACCCGTAAATAGATGTAATTGTGCTTTGCACAGTAAAATAGCCGAAGTTAGTTTCCTCAAAGGCATCCTTTCCGCTATGCAAGTAGCCTTCGAGTGCTTTACCATAATCTTAAATAATTTAACGTCGTTAATTTTATTATTTCAATAAAAGTGATTTAATTTATTTTAGCTAAATGTAAATGATTTTTTTTATTATTTTATTTATTTATTTATTTATTCCTGGAGAAGGTTAGAATTTTAAATCTAAGGACGGGGAACGTTTTGTAATTTTAACGATTTACTCTGCTACTGTCTCGCGAGTCTTAAAACGAATAAATTGGTTTTAAATCGGAAGCAGTGATGAAGTGTATGGCCCAAACCTCCGTAAGGATATAAAAAACTTACGAAAAGGGAGGTAATTAAGAGGCGGATTGTATCGTTATAACGTTATGTGTACGTGTTAAAAACAGTGCGCAAAATCCCCTCTATTTTATTTATACACAGTATTTCAAACGATTAGACCTAGCTTATGTATGTTCAGATGAATTATGGAGCTATTTTAAATATTTTTGAAGTTAAACTAATGAAGGATTTTGAAAAAGTGTATTCTGAATTTATGTCAAATAATTATGGAATTCTTCACTTACATAGCTTATTTCATTTTCTTAGACAAAATTGTATTAATTAATAGAAATTATTTCATTAATATGAATAAATTTCTAACTATTATTTTTAATATGTCTTACACGCAGAATTAATCATATATTTTGAAACGGATTTAGGATATCAGGCCCTGATCATTATAAACGCCCGCAGAGAACGAAAGTGAATGAAGTAGTACCCTCTCCTTCCGCTATCAAGTAAAAAAAAGTATTTTCGTATTGATGCATGTATAATGCTGGTGTAACACATGTAATAAAAGTTTCATCTTGGCTTTCGACGCTGAATGTGAACACAGTTTTAGAGCTGTGTGATTTAAAGTGATGCAAGAATTTGTTTATTAAAGAAATATATTACAGATTTATTATTTATCAAGAGAAACGGATTTCTGGAAACCCAAGCATCACGTATGCATCAACAAAAAAATTAGTAATCTTAAGGTGCTTCTATACAGAAAAGGTAAAAAGTATTAAAAGGCAATGAAGCTTCTGGAAAATGATTCTTATTCACGCTTGCAGGCCATTTTATTTTTGCATGGAATGGTTGTCTTAGAAAAGCTGTTCTCAGTTCGATTTTAGTGTTATCAGAAATGGTGTTCATTTTCAAAGATGGTCTATCGGAGAGAGTTTCAGTGTATTTTGAATGTTTAAATTTTAGAGGAGTGTTAACTTTTCCCAAATCAGGAAACCTGATGCTTTTACCGTTGCGGAGATTCGAGTGCTGTCTATTATAACCGCTTACATCACGAGAACGTATGCGGAGGAATGCAATAATTCTTTACATTCTTCCTCACTTAAGACCCCATCGATCGAAGCAATAAACTTGAAAAATCAATTATACTGTGGCCGGGGTTCGAGCCGCAGATCTCCCACTTGCTAACTGGATATGCTATATCAACACTTATAATATCCCGTACAAAATTAGCTGAAAAATGATTGCTTTTTGGGGGAATAACATGTAAGGTAAACTGACACTTATACGTATAGATAACTTTATGTACACGTATACAGGGTTAATCGCTGAACGTAGAAATACCGGAGCAATATGGAAGGCCGTTAAGAAAGAGAAACAAAAATAAATAAATAAAGTAATAAACAATTATTAATTAAAGTTAAATCGTTAAGAGGTAAAAAATCAATAAATCAGGGTAAATTATTTTACTTAATATTTATCTATTTGTTATTAATCAGACCTAATCTCATCTGGTTTATAATTTCATTTAAAACCGAAAAGTACCGGAGGGGTCCCCGGCTGAATTTTAAGCCCTGCGGTGTAGATATCAGTGTAAAAGAGGGATTTAATTTTATTACAACAGTTACTATCAAATTTTAAAGCGCTAAATAGCCCTACTTTCTTTCTTCATGTTTTTATTTTTATCGCCCCCTTAGTTCTTTAAGCAATATATTATTATATCTATTTCTAATCTTGGTCTTTATGGTGGCTGTCCGATTTGAGTTTAGTCAAGAGGTTTGAATAGAAATCCATTCGGTGCTTCATGGTAACCAATGAAATGACAACGCTGCTGTGTGCATATCAGTTGTACCGGGAGGGGCGAGACATTAGGCTTGCGATCATGTATTTGCTTTCCTTAACCGTGCAGTTGTGCCCAGCGGTGCAATTCAGGAGATCTTTTCTTCGGGACTGCACAAGAAAAGGCCACAAGAAATTACCTACCCGTCTTGTACTGGTTTTTTGAATGAATGGAATCGGAATTCCAGTGGTTCACGGATGGAAAACAATGTGCCTTTCTTCGACCGAGTGTCGGTAAGTCCGGATTATTTTCCTCTCAATGCGATAAACATTTTTAAATCTGCATCAAGTATTTGAACTGAGAATGCATTGTGTGGGGAATATTCAAAACCCTGACTCCGTTTGAAATTTTTTAGGTCTATCTAAAAATGTTAATATAAAATCAGCTGAAAAGCGTTCTGTAAAAAAAGTTTTTTACTTAATGTAAAGAAATTCTCTCTCTCAGGAGCCAGAAGGAAAGTAGTCGATAATTTTTTTTTCCTTGGAAATTCCTCGAGGAAGCATCTTTGATAGAAAAGATGTCTTCGCGCTGTTGACTATGTTTAAACAAACATAGTGCAATGCATCGCTTACATTTCTTAATGACCGAATAGATTGGCTGCGTAAGCTTTTCATGTTTTTATCAATTTATGACGTTAATATGAACTCAACTTCGCTTCGAAAGTACTTCACGAAAGTATCCTATCCTAGATATCTCTCGAATAATTTATTATAATAAGTAACTTAGCTCTGCGTATGCTCAGCAGTTTCGATTTCAACTTGATAATTCCAAACACGAACTTACTTCAATATTTTTTGCTTTAATGAACAAAGTATGTGTACTTATTTTTATTTCCTAAAATTAAGTTTGCAAAATTTTAGAAGATTTCATGGATTACGTAGCAGAAATTAAAAAAATACATTTGATAGATGTTACATATTTAGCATCATTTTAAAATAAAATACTTTGCAATGGAAAGCCATTAAAAAAACTTGGTAAATATGCAATTACTGGTAATAAGTATGAATTATATATGGGAACTGCGGCAGGTGTTTAATGCACTTTTTCTTAAGGCACAGCCCGTATAATTTTAATTTCGGTCTCTAACATTTAAATTGGTGGCTTTGAGTTTTCAGCTGCTCGTATATAAAGTAGAGATTATTTTCCGAAGGGAGATTTAAGGGTGAAAAAAAGCATCTCTCATTCGAACTAGTACTGTAATGTTTTAATCTGTGTATTTCGAAATGAATTGTCTGCTTATTTTGGTTGAAGAAGCGCATCGTGAGAATTACCTCAAAGAACGTGCGTATGCTTTGGAGGAGGATTCTCACTGCCCATCTTACGTGGAAGGCTATAGGAAGAGGGGGAGAGGCTCAAACATTTTATTTCTTAGGTTTGGTATTCGCTCTCTGATGTACTACTAATGTTTTTTCACGGTCTTTTAGAGCCCCGAGGTACGACTGCGGGTTTTCGTTCCTGCTGTCTCATTAGGACACCTTCAAAAAAGGCCCCAACCTCGCCAGGAAAAAGAATTCCATCCTTTATGGAGATGTGGTACTGCATATAATGCTAATCACGACTTTCCTCTGCTGCCTTCCAAGTCGTTAACGCGGAGGCATTTGTTCGCTGCAGCAGGAAATTCATTAAGGGTTGGGAAAGAGCCTTGAATGCTGGAACTTAAGTAGGAAGATGGTTTCTTAATGACTACGAAACCTTGTAATTGGGTTCATCTCGTCTTTGCCTTTTCCTCCTATACCATTATCTTGGTTTCCAAAATGGAAAGATAACGATTCTTCCTCAATCGATTTCTACATTATCAATATCGCCGTCGTTTCGTTCGATGCTGCTGCACCTCTGGCTAGTATGGGCTACTGCCTCATCCATGACATGTAACTTTTGTTTGGGTAATATCGTGCGAAGTATCGTAGCACAATAGTCATTCGAAACAACTTATTTAGGGTGGAGTTTCAGCTGTATCGTTAGATACGCGGTACGTGAATTTCTATCATTTAAATCAAGGACGTCATTTTAAAGGGAGGGGTTAATTCAGTCTTGGAGGAAAGTCGTTGTTGCTCTAGATAAAAAGTAATTCAAGAGTATACGGAATTACAATTACAGAGTTTGGAAAGTAGTTCATTTAAAAGGGCGGAAGAATGCTCATTTTATTAAGCCTTCCACTGGTGTAAAATTTGTACTCATAATTCTGTGGAAATTTATTCATTTAGTTGTAAAACTATTTATTTTATGCCATAAAGGATTTTTTAAAAATCTTGCTACCAGTGGCCGTCTGGTTAAAGCTGTTGGTTAGCAGGCGCTTTTGTGGTTTTCTCATATATCACAAGGATGAGATTTTGTTACCCTTAGGAAACCTGCCATGAGGCTATCCCTACCCTTACGTAAATAGCGTAAGTGTAATTTGCCCTAATCCAGTAAATTCGGTCTTAGCTAGTAATGATGGTAATGGTAGTTTTTCCACTGAATTTTTTTTTTTTTTAGTAGTTTTTTCCGTTTGTGAATT